AATGGGAAGACCAACATCCAGCAAGAGAGAAAGGTGCAAGCTCCAGAGCTGCCTAAATTATGTGCCAGCCAGTACCACAGAATCCAGCTTAGAGAATCCTGAGGCTAGTCCTTTTCCCAACTGTAACACAGGGTCAATTTAATTAACTTTCATGAAGCATAGTGCCAATCATGCTGTGACAACTGAACCATGAAATCCAAGTGGGGAGCAGTGCCTGTGTCACAAACTCCAAGCTTCAACAGCACCCTAACCTAGAATACAGGCTGGGTTTAGAGATCTGAGCCATCAGGATACTGACGAGGAGCCAAGAACAGAGCTTCCTGGACCGTTTCCATCATCAGACAAAAAGGGAGTGCTGTAAAATAGCAGCTTCTGGCACCAACTTAAGAGACTATACAAAGCTCAAGACATGAAAAACCCAAGCAATCACTACTCTAATGGCTTAGTGACAGCAAGGCCACCTCTACTGGCTGGTTTCCTGCCTCCAAGGGCCTCCTCCCCAACATGCCTGACTACCATAGAGTGACATAAATGGAAGGATATTGTTCTTTGTCCTCTGCAGAAAGCAGTCTATCAGGCTTCGCCTGCTTTATTCAAAGCAAGCAGGTCATGAACTCTAACCAGAGGGTCCAGTATCTCTTTTCTTGGGGTGCAAGAGCCTCGGTACTTTCACAATAAAGAAAGGCTCTACTTTCATTCACTTACTGCCATCTTGCTGGCATGGGTTCAGCTGTGGAGTCTTAAATAGATGGAGTAAAATCCGGCAGGTCAGACGTGCTCCTGGTTCTGAGTCCTGTTCACTGCAGGCTGTGTAAAGAAACAGTCAACTGAGATTTCTTAAGCACCAGGACAGCTGACTCTCAATCCAAAAGCTATTCACAGTGCACTGCCCTGGAGCAGCCGGTTGCAAGGCTGCAGCAGCCTTGTTCTATTCACAAATATGAAACATGTGCGGCAATTAACATGCAAGTGAGCAAATCCATCAGTATTATCCCCAGTGACATGCACTGCATTCTGCTTGCTCCATCTTCACAACTTCACCCTGTCACGAGCCTGGATGCTGCAATCCCCAGAGCAAAGCTAGGAGGGCTGACAGCAGAGTAACCTAGGCACTGTAGGCCCAACTGGTCAGCTGGCTGCTCCAGTCAAAATATTAAGCTGAATCACATCAGCAGCGGGAGGTGTACTGCTGGAGTTCAGAGCTGAGTACACTGGTCAAATGGTGTGGCTGATAACATCTCTTGGTGTTTATTTCATCTTGTACACAAACTCCAGAGAGCAAAACACCGAAAAACCTTAGCACAACCAGTTTTTGATAGAAACCAAAAGGTCAGAAACTCTCTAAAGCAAAGTGTTCAATTCTTAAGTACCATACTATGAAAGAAGTATTGGAGGCATGTTTCACAACTATGAGGTTCACAAAGTGTCCACCAAGCACAGGCCTTTGGGCCAGAACAGAGACCAAGACCAGCCTTCTGCAGGGATGCACTTACCAGCATTGAGGAGTGAGGGGATAGCAGCACAGCGAATCAGGTCCTCCAGCAGCAAGCACTGCCGGGCAATGAGAATGGCAACAAAGGTGGCCAAGGAATCATGGAAAGATAAGTCACTGACCTGGAAGAGAGGAGATCAGCCGGTGATCACAACAGCCTCATTCCCTCTGTCAGCAATTCCTCAGCTTGCCTAGAAGGTGGGGGCTAGAAGGGCCCATAACCCCAGGTCAATGTCCATGATCAGCCCAGGCTGCAACAAACACCAAAAGGTAGCCCCAGAATTCAAAGCCTTTCCCCTGTCCTCAGAAGACAAAGCTTCCATCCCTTGTTCATTTCTGCCTTCTCCCAACGGATCCCTCCACTCCTGTTTCAATTCCTTTTCCCCTTTTGAATGTTTGCACTTGCATCAACATTGCAGAGGAGATCATTGAAGCCACAGGTCCCATTATTGGAGGAACAGCACAAAGCTTTGAGCACACCCAGCCACTCGGCGCTTAGAGACTTGCAGTAGCCAGTTAGCTCAGCACACAGGATAGCAATGTCGTTCACCCTGTTAAAACAAACAATGAAAAAAGCAGGTCAACTTGTCTAATCATGCATGCCATCAGGCCAGTGATTCTCTAAGGGACTCCAGCCTTGGCTCCTTCCTCACACCCAAGACAGCCACGCAATGGCAACTGATTTTCTAACCCTCATCTAACATTTTATTATCTCAGTAGAACCATAAAAGTTCTGCCTCTTACCTGTCTGGATCATGATGTCCCACACATACATGCATAAGTGCATTACAGACAAAACTGTAGCGGTTGGCTGGGTTTTCATTAAGGCTCTTGCCCAGGTTGGTGTATGTAAAGTTATGTGCAGATGGATTTTCAATAGTGTCAATCATGAACTCTGGTTCCCACAGCATGTTGGAGTCAGATGGCTCAACATTGCAGTAGATTGTGTTCTTCACCTTGGAGCAGAAGTCACTGAACAGGACAGCAAAGAGAGATTAGGAGCACAAAAACCCCTACGCTTCCACTGAACTCTGATAAGCAAAGCAATCCTGTGCAAGACAAGCCCTCCCTGTGCAAGAATATGTGGAAACTCAAGAACACTGTGTACCAACAAAGACTATCCCAAAAGACTGAAGCTGCTGCTCTGTTGTGGAAGCACCCATGGGCTCAGTGAATGCAGCATGGGAATAGCTATTCCACGTCAGATCAGGGTAACACCTATCTCAGCCTTTGGTGTCAGAACAGTTGAGGCCCAGAGAGGAGTTTAAGAGCACAGCAGGCACATGGCAAACTGCTCCAGCATCCTTCCCCACTCTGCTGCACCTAGGGCTCACAGATTTACAGAGCTAAAGATAATGTTCTCCTCAAGAGATTTTCCTCCCACAAATTTGTCCACCTACTTTTTGAATCCAGTAGATCTTTGATGTTCACAACATGGAATGAGTTCCATGTTAATGATGAGAATTATGAAATTTATTCTTTCATTCTGAATCTGCCATTTGCTATTTTCTATTAATTCCTTCTTGTGCTTGTATTGTAAGACATAATGAACATTCAGTTTATTTTCCGTATCAACCAGAACTTCACAAACTTCTACCGTTCCTCCTCAGTCTCCTCTGTGGGGAAGAGATTCAGTTCCTCGTAAGTCAGTCATTCCAAACCTCCACACACCATCCTTTGGGCCTAACTCCACTACATGCTTTTTGGATGCTTGCTCCAAACCACAAGGCACAGTTGTATCGTGACTTAAATTGTGGCCTAAGGATGCTCTCTGGTCTGTTCTCCACTCCTCTACAAACATTCCATTTGCTTTTTGACTGTTACTGAATGCTATGATGACATTTTCAATTATGTATCTGCTACAGCTCAAAGATCCTTTATCCAACCTGTAGTATATATCCATCACTACACAGAGTTTAGAAGGGAACAAGGGCAATCCTATGTGTATTGTTTTATGTTTAACAATACTAAACTTCACCTGCCAGTTTGTCACCATCACTGCACCATACTACAACAATCGGCAGCCAACTTCTGCTGTTATACACTGAATAATAGTTAGATGAAAAGTTTTGGTATCACCACTCATACAACATCCAATGCGTAGAACAGCACAAGCACTAGCAGAGTCCTACTGAGGGACCACCCTCGAAATACAAACTCCTTCCCACTCCTTGTCTCCATCTCTAACATATTGTTTGCCTGCCAGAGGTTTCCCTTTTATCTGTGGCCATTTACTTTAAAGCCTTGCTGAACAGCTTATGGGAATTCATATTCATATTCAACAGACTAATACCAGGTTTCTCATTTCTGTATATGTGATGTCTCCTTCAAAGAACTCCAATATACCTGTGACCACAGCGCTCACTCTTGCTCTGAATTCAGTCCAGAGAGAGACTTAAAAGGCTCTCAGCAGCCAGGACACCAAGACACAAGCCACTCTTTAACAGTCCATCAAAGGGGGGTAACACTGAGGGTTAGACATCCCTATGGCACGCCTGCACTGGAAACACTAATAGGGAGCAGTGGCTGCAAAAGAAGACAAAGCGAAGCACTGTACTGGGCAACAGGGCTGTCAGGAGCATTAGCCCTTCACAGGATCACATAAGCAAAAAGCCACGGAGATCTGTGGACGCCATCTCTGGGTTGTTAAGTAAGGAGCTCCACAGGAAGCTGGTGGGGGGACAGTTCCCAAAAGAAGAACTGCAAAGGGCAGAAGGCCACAAACTAAGCCCATGGGACAAAACCTGGGGGCAACATCAGCAGAGCAGAACCCGAAGAGCTAGAGCTGGCAGAACAAGGATAAGGTGTGCAAAGTAGCACAAGAACAAACTCAGAACCAGGCAGAGCAGGTTCA